TTCCATGAACAATAGCCAGAGACCAGGACAGAGCCTGTAGACCTAAGGCAAATGGATTTGTGCATGTGGGGGTGTGGAACAAGGATTCGGGGCATAGCCCCATGTTTACAACCAATTTCTCTCGTACTTCCCAAGAAGGCATTCTCCACAAGTTCCTAACATTTTCTTTAGGTAGCCTTCACTTTTCTGATGGTTCGGGTTTTCATTTCTTGCGGGGTGTTTCAATATTTGGAGATAATCACTGAAACGAATCTATCATTTGGGCTAAGAAATTGCTGTCATCTACATAATCTTAAAGGGAGTTGTAGTATTTTATGGTGAACCACTTCCTTGCCTGACCTCTTTTAATGCATGTGATAGTGTTTTCACTGGTCTTATTTGTCAGCACCCTCCAATACTCTGTCAGTCACTGGAGCATTTTGAAATCAACCAACCGAGGGAGTAAACAAGCAGAAGAACTGAAAAATAACCCCTTGCCCATCAGAGACCCTCTCAGATGCCATAACTCCCATAAATTTTCACTCCTGGCTTCTTCCCTTCTTTAAACTATTGGCTCCTTTCTCAGCTGTAACTGGGTCCCATTGGGGAAACTGGAGAGGATCCTGGTAGTATTATATGCAAGGACCCTTACTCCAAAGACTCTGCCTTATTCAAGAATCCCCCACAGCGATTTTCCCGTAACCGTTCCTCACCCATTACCAGTTCAGGGTTTCTTTGACTTTCGCCTTCCCCGCATCGCCTTCAAGATTTTTGCCTTTTCTGTGTCCTGCCTATATCATGTTTTACTAAATCCTTTTTTCTACTATTTGGTCTTGCCCTCCCCATCCCGGCCTTAAGCAAAGATCTGTAGAGTGGGGAAAGCTAGGGCCTCCTGATCCCACATTTCTCCCCTCCGATCCTCACCAATCACAACCACAGAAGCTTGCACACACAAAGCAAGGAGTGGGGGGGGGGGGGGCTCTGTAAACAGGAGAGAATCAATGAACCTATCAAAACTGCTAAGAAGACCATAATTACTTTCCCATCCCTCCTTTTCCTAGTGTGTGTTGCAAATACCCTGAAATTGGTGGTGCCAGTGTGAGGGGCTAGTAACCTGTGAACTCACAAGGGTCTTTTCCAACCATCTGAAAAGACAGAGTTGATCTTCATTTTATTTCTGTTGAACTATGCTGAAAAGTATAGAATGATCTCATTTGGATGCCTCCTTTCTACTCCTTCCAAATTTACACACACACACACACACACACACACACACACACACACACTTTTAAAATGGTCACAGAGATTTAAAAAAAAATAGTGTGAGACTAAGAAGTTCGCTATCAAAGTAGGGTGGAGCTCTCCCCCGCAGCTTGAATTGTTTGCTCTGGTAATCAGCCCGAGCTCGTAAACACCCCAAAGCACAAGTTCAGCCTCTTCGTGAGCCAAATTCATCAATTTAAGGCCAAAATTACACATTCACATTTGCTGATGCTATTTGGACAGCTTGTGTAACAACGATCGACCCCGCTGGGTAGATGGGCTAACCGTGGTCATTGTAACTTGCTTGGTGCAGAAGATTTTAGATTAAAATGGAATTTCAATTAAAACGGCTACCTGATGCAGCTTCGCAGAACAACTTGAAAAATCCCCAAGCCACAAGCATACTTGCAAGTGACACATTTGCATTATCTACCCACTCATTCTGTCCCCCAGCATTAACAAGCATTTAGCGAGCACGGGAGATTGGTTGCGGGAAAACACACTTAAGTTTCCTTAGATATGAACACCTTGACTTAAATGGTTATGGAATCCATTCTTTATCTCGCCTCCACAGCACCCAGCACAGTGACCTTCCCCGTATGTGAACTCATGAATGTCTACTGTGATAAGAAAGAACCAAAGATTGTGAGGATTAACTATCAGACTGGAGTACACCTAGCCTGTAATAGACACCAAATAATAGACACCATTCAACAAACCACTAAATAATGGACACCATTCAACAAACACTCACTCAACGGGAAAGGGAGAGACATGAGAAGGGGGACATTGAACTGAGTTTGGAGGAGGTCACGCTGCGGGGGTGGGAGTGGGGCGGGAGGTATTGAGAACCTGTCCTGACAGACCTTGTAGGGAGACTAGATCATGTCCAGATGCCACTAGGAGGCAATGGTGAGGCGGGGCAGCCAAGCCGATGCTCCAGAACATCTCTCCATGTCCAGGAGTGCTCCAGGTTATACACAGGAGCACCTTGTCAAGGCGATAGTCTTGTCCCTCAGGCTCATGGTCCTTCCATGGTCAACCACATGCTTATCATCCTTTGACCATTTATGTGAAGGGCTCCTGGCTGCTCACCAAGGCTTTGCCAAGGCTCATCCAAACTGGAAAACCACACCTTCTTCCCTTACTTTTCATCAGCCATGGGACACTCAGAAGCTCCCCTAAACAGAGGGTGAGGAGCCTCACATTCACAGGGCTGGGGATAAAACTGAAAGAGAAAGTCCTGACAGCTATTTTTGCATGGGTTGAAATGGTTGAGAAGCTCTTACCACTGATCATAAGATCTGGATTCCAGACCCAGCTCCCCTGCCTCTGTTACTCGGCAAGACCCTTTCCTTTTCTGAGCTGTCTTTCCTCATCTGAAAATGCTGTTTCCTCCTAGCTGTCATATTGTCTGACTTGAAACTCATCCACTTAGATTATTTCCACTTTGCCATACTGGCCATTTAACTTAACAAATGTGTGTTCATCGCTCCGCCTCTTTTTCTAAAGCCTTCATCCCTTGGTAAATTCTACAGAATTTATCTGCTACCACTCGGTTCTAGCAATGGAAGTTTCAAGTCTATTTTTAAAAGCATTGAGCTTACTCCTTGGGACAGCTACTAAGCCTTGTACATAATGTGGTACACGCTGTATTCTGAATTAAATGAATGTGGCAAGAAATGAAAAGAAAAATGAAATTCTCAAAACCAGAATATGATTTAACACCTCCTGGACCAGAATAGGTCACACCTGCTTTCTGGTTTTTCTCCTGAAAACATATTTGTATTAGCTTCGTCACTGACTCCAACTTCAGATGCCTCCACCTCGCCCTCGGAGGACTTGGACATGTGGCCTTTGCTCTCAGCCTCAGGATCCATAAATTAAGCAGATGGAAGCAGGAGTGTAAAATCCTTTCTAGACTTTCAGGTCCCACTTGTGACCCATTTTAAACTGAATTGCGTAGTGGCCAAAATCAACCCAAACCCCAAAGCCATTACCTTATCTAAGCTGGTTTATCTATTCACGAATCAAGACTAATGCCAAATAGCATCTCCTCTGTTTTAAGTCTCCCAGATTTTCAGGAAGGTCCCCACTCTGTTCCCCTTCTTATTTCAGGGTCTATCACATTGAGCTCGCTTTTAGGTTATTCATTCCCTCCTTAGTGCGGTTCGTGCTTCTGTCTTCTGAGCCTGCTGAACAGCTACTCGGTGTCCTGTACCCCACTCAGCTCTTTTCACCCACCAGCCCCAGGCCCCTGCTATTTTAATTATCTGTTTCATCCTGCAACTTTGCTTCTTCTAAGGCCTTTCTTTCTTTCTTTTCTTTCTCTCTCTTTCTTTCAGCTTCTTTGAGGTAAAATTAACACAGAAAATTCTAATATGCTTAGTGTGCAATTTACTTGTTACACACTGCAAAAGAATTCCCTTCTTTAAATTAATAAAGCCTCACCACCTCACATACTTTTCCCTTTTTTGGCTTTTCCTCCCCTAATTCTACATGTAAGTAATATCATGTATTATGTCTTTCTCTTGTGGTTTATTTTACTTAGCACACATAACACCCTGTCTGTTCATTCATGTTGTCCAAATGGTAAAATCTTATTATTTTTTTGTGGTTGCATAATATTCCTCTGTGTGTGTGTACCATATTCTCTTTATCCATTCATCTATTGGTGGCCACTTGGGTGGCTTCTATATCTTGGCTACTGTAAATAACGCTGCAGTAAACATAGGAGTGCATATATCTTTTGGAATTAGTGTTTTGGCTTTCTTTGCGTAAATACCCAGTAGTGGAATTATTGGCTCATATGATATTTCTGTTTTTAATTTTTTAGTAACCTCCATACTGTTTTTCACAGTGCACCATGTACCAATTTACCTTCCCACCAACAGTGCACAAGGGTCCTCCCTCCCCCCCCTCCCCATCCTCATCAACACTTGGTATTTTTCTTTGGACTAGCCATTCGGACAGATGTGAGGTGTTACCTCATTGTGGTTTAGATTTGCATTTCCTTGATGATCTAGGAAGCGTTTCTTAAAGAGTGGTGCCTGATCACTCTTTGTATGTGATTAAAAAATGCAGATTCCGAGCACCCAAGCTAGACTTCCTGACTCCCAATTTCCGGGGGTGAGACCTGGGAAGCATTTGCTCAGCAAGCTTCCCTGGTGGTTCTCGGCATAACAGTTTGAAATTCACTGCTCCTCCACCCATCCTTTTGCCCTTCTTAACGGTAAAGGTGCTATTAGTTTTACCAGGACTGTAAGAGGAAAAAAAAAAAAAAAAAACAGCGTGGCGGGGAAAGGGGTGTTCAAAGCCCTATGCTGGCACCTGGGGCGGCCTGCCTAGCCCAGCCACGCAGGCACCCCTGGAGAGAAAAGCAAGCAGTCCTCTGCGCCCACGCCAGGCCCCTGAAGCCACTGAGGCAGGGAGTCAGACGTCCACGCCTTGGCATCACCAAGCGTGTGCAGAGCGCGCCACCCCTTCCCTGCAGCCCGAGGCTCGGTGGCTGGGGGTGTGGGGGAGGCGGGGGTACGCGCCAGAACTCGGGGTCCCGGCTGCCTCTCCGCTCCCGTTACCACTGGCAACAGCACCGGCCGCCAAAGTCTGCGTGGCGCGAGTAGGTGGGACTCGCCGGCTCTGGAGGCCAGTGCGCATGCGACGGTCGGCCGCGCACCCTGCACTTCCTGTCGCGTGATCTTGAGGACCAATAAAAGTGCGTCGCTGGGGGTCACGTGTCTCCGTTCCCATTAGCAACCGGAGGCTTCCAAACAAGCTGCCCTCCCTCCGGCCCTTCTGCGGCCCAACCAGCCTCGGCGACCCTCGGGCTTGGCGGGGCTCCGCCTGGCCTCTCCCGCTCCCCGGGGCTGCGACTCTCGCCGCCGCCATGGTGAGTAGTCGGCCGGGCGCCGTAGCGCGCGGAGGCGACGCCGAGCCGGGCCCAGTACGACCCGGGGGCCTCCTGGCCGCCGGCCGCTGGGGCTCCGTTACCGAGGCCGGAGCCCCTTCCGCGCGCGGGCAGCCTCCCCCGCCGCGTCGGGTCCGTCCTCAGCCCTAGCTGCGCGGGTCCCGGCCAAGTCACGTCTCGAAGGTGGAGGGAGCTGCAGGTGACACACAGCACACGCCGTAGGGCGGGACTCTCACTCTGGTCCTAAAACTCCCAAGTGTTCACACGCACATCCCTTGGGCAGCACGAACAATTGGGTACTACAGCGAGTTGAGGGCGAGAGAGTGATTGAAATGCGAGGGCGACTTTCAGAGTCCAAGCCCTCCGTCGTACAGCTGAAGGACATCGAGGGGTATAAGAGACCAGGTTTTCCTGTGTGCTGAAGCGTATGCATTCATCTCTCCAGCGGATACGGCGTGGCAGCCGTACTGAGGACAGTGCCCAGTGCAAAAGTTAGGTTCCGAAGAAAGGATGAAGCCACAGTTGGGGGTCACCATTGAAATGGGCCACTGAAATACCTCGGCGATGAAACGACTGTAACAGTGTCAGTTGTACTCAACTTAAAAAACATTTTGTTTAATGTTTTATTTATATTTGAGAGAGAGAGAGTGCAAGCCAGGGAGGGGCAGAGAGAGAGGGAGACCCAGAATCCCAAGCAGGCTCCAGGCTCTGAGCTGTCAGCACAGGGCCGGAAGCAGGGCCGAAGTCAGATGCCTAACCGAGGAGCCACCTAGGCGCCCCAAATTTAAACAGTTTTAAAATAAATGAATAAATTAAAGCCCCCTGGTAATTCTAAAACTAAACAAAGAAGACAACAAAGAAAAGAAAGTTGCTGGTGAGCTTCACAAAGCAATTTGAGTAGGTGTGGGTTTAAGGACTGGGTGATGGTGTGGGGATAGCAAGGGAAGAAGGGGTGGGGAAATGCGAGCATAGTTAGAGGGATTCTCAGGATTGCGGGGTTTTGTGGGTTTTTGAATAAGGTGTATATGTATAGTCTGAAGGGAAGAAAAAACCTATAGAATGTTGAGAGGGAAGAGTAATTAAAGTCCTCCAGGAGTTTGAAAGAGAACCGATTAAGGCCTGATGAAGAAGTGACCTTCAAAAGGAGGAATGCTCTTTAAGTTCATTTGTGGGCACATCTGTTGCTTGTGAGGCCCTGTGCTTAGTTCCAGAAATGGCGGCACCTTAGGGAACCAGGTGGGCAAGGTCCTGACCTTCAGAGACCTGTGTCCTAAGGAAATTGAGACCGCAGAGGGGAGCTGCGTGGATGGAGAAAAGCCACCGCAAGGGACTTGGGGGCCAAAAGAGATCGTGCCTGATGGCCTTGGCGTTGGCCTCCAACACTGTAGAGGGAGTGACGAGCCTGAAAAAGAGGCTCGGAAGTTAGACTTCAGTCTCCCCTAGGAAGGCTATGGGAGTTCCTCATTCTTAAAGATCATCCCTGACTCAGATCATCCCTACATTGGATGTTCAGTTGTGTAATGTCCTTTTCTTTTCAGCATAGCTATAACATGAAAAGAAAAATTCATTAATCTCTAGCTCATAGTTGTCAAGCTCTCATGCAGTTTAAAATATTGGACCAATTAATGACTATTTCAAAAACCCAGTACCTTTTTAAAAGCTGTATTAGCTAGGGGAAGGTTAAGTTGCTATCATAGATATCCAGAAAAACAGTGGCTTAAAGAATACCAAATTGTATTTCTCACTCCACTGCCATCTCGCTGCTCATCTAGGTCTGTAGGTCCACAAAACCAGTCTGGCATAAGGGTCCTTTTCAGTGCGCTGTCCACCCAACCCTCAGGGCATTGTCTGCGAGGTTCAGCCTAGTCACCCCCCCTCCAACGCCTTGTCCGAAGGCCCATGCTTTGGAGGTGGCCTACATCTCTTCCACTCATGCCCAGTACAGAGCGGTAGTTGTGTGGCCACACCTGGCTGCAGGAATGGTTGGGAAGTATCGTCCAGTTGGGCAGCCATTTGCCGGGGAAGAAGGGAAGACCAGAATTTAGTGGACATGTAGCAATCTCTGATGTTTGCATCGTTGCTTCCTTCATCACGCCTCCACGACTAACAATTACTTTTCTCTCTTGTAGGCAGAGTTGGGCCTAAATGAGCACCACCAAAATGAAGTTATTAATTACATGCGTTTTGCTCGTTCAAAAAGAGGCTTGAGACTCAAAACTGTAGATTCCTGCTTCCAAGACCTCAAGGAGAGCAGGTATCAGAGGACTCGAAGGAAACCCTGGGGGGAACATGAATGCTTTCTGGGAGCCGGTGTGGGGATGTGGTAGCAGAGGCCATACAAGCCATTGCTGGGATTGTCATGACCAGTTCCTCGCTGAGAGTAGCCCCGTGGATATGTGAAATTCAGGAAACCGGATTGTGGCAGGAGCAATCTATTACCAAGCATACGCATAGGATAATTATGAGATTGCCAGGTTTCAAAAGGGCCGTCAGGAAATGGTGATGGGCATGTAGGTTAATGCGTGGCTTGCTGTATTAAAGATCCCAGAACTTTGATTACCTGAGTTATTAATTAAAGGACTAGAGCCGTAAGGCATGACAGTTAGCAAGACACCTGTGCCGTTCATACGGAAGACTCGGGAGGGGCCGAGACAGCAGGGAACCATGGAAAGGCTGCACTGGCACCAGAGCTGCTAGTGGGTGTCCAGCAAGAGATGATCATTAGTTTGGTTGAGCCAGTCATCGGATGTGGTTAAAGTCTATAGAAAATTCATGTTTGATCCAGAGAAACATAGGCAAACCAATGAAAGAAAAGGACTAAGTAATAAAGATCCATCAGATTACTCAGGGATCATACTCTGGCACAGTTAAATGTCAGATGAGATGGAAGATGAGGAAGGCCTCCATGTGAGCGGCGAGTGTCACTGAGCCACGCGCTGCACATGATAGTGGACGCCATTGGCTGTAGACCGTTATGGGTTCAACCCACTAATGTAATCTGGTCCGCCGGCTTCCTGACCCCAGCAGGTGAAAGCAACAATTTCACTGGCCCGGCTGGGAGCCAGAGATGATTATCACTCACTTTATACAGCGATACCTTAATTGCTGTTCATAATCATGAACTTGGGTGGCCAAAAAAAAAAGTTGAAGCAGATTTGGTTTGTTCTATTAAAGAATAGAGGAAGATTGTTGACATATTGAATCAGGATGCTCACCAAAAATACATGACGTTTTGGGTTTTTGAGACTGGCTAAATTCTGGCTGAGAGTGGAACATTGAAGAATGGTATCATATACTGCTAACTTGAGTATAACCCTGATAAGACCTTGGTGCACCTCTCTTAATTATGTACCTTTGGAAGTGAGGAAGAGGTGGGACCAGGCTGGGGCCATCACGCCCGTCCCCTGAGCTGCTGAGGGCTGGGGCCAGATGGGGAGAGATGGTCTTACTGTCAAACTCTCCTTTCAATCAGGAGCTTTTTCGGGACTTGGCTGTTGGGTGTGTTGCTGAGATTCCCGGAGATGTTTGTGGGCCTGAGTCACCCCCACATGGGACCAGGGGCATGTTACCTCCGCCCCCCTCTGAGCCTGCAGCCCCACCCACTCCCCCATCTGTAACACCAAGGGGTTGAAGAAAATGGCTCTGAAGTTCCCTCCCAACCCAAGCCTTCCCTGTGGGGGGAGAGTGGCTTTGAGTGCTCTTGATGGTGATGATGATGTTCATTTTTATGGAATGGTCAGGACTCAGAGGAGCTTTACCTAAGATAAGTTAGGTTTTTGGGGGGATTTTGGGGTTTGTTTTGGTTTTGTTTTTTCGTCTGGGCCTCAAGAATGCCAAGATAAAGGGGCACCTGGGTGGCTCCATTGGTTAAGTGTCCGACTCTCAATTTCGGCTCAGGTCATGGTCCCACGATTTCGTGAGTTCGAGCCCTGCATCAGACTCTGTGCTGACACTGCAGAACCTGCTTGGGATTTTCCCTCCCTGCCTCTCTGCCCCCTTCTCACGCTGTCTCTGTCTCTCTCAAAATAAATAAAGTTAAAAAAAAAGAATACCAAGAGAAGCAACATATAATTATTTTCTTTTACTAACTAAAATCATTTACTAACATTTTCTTATCATCATTTACTAACATTTGAATAGTTCATACAATTATTGAAATCCTAAACGAATAATAGAAAGAAAAATAATACCTTCTAGGGGACTTTTGAAAGTGCTAAATGTGATACGACTGATTTTCGTGGAGATTAAAGAAATGTTTAAACTGAAAAAGTAAAGAAAAAAGTAAAAGTTTGGGGGAACGTTTCTGAGCACGTACGTTGCATTAGAGGATGTGCGCACTCATAGTTTGGCCGTTTTGACCGACGCCAAAAATGAACTGAGCTTAAAAAAAAGTTAACTGAGCTTAAGGTGTCTTCGTTATGTTTCATTTATAAAGCAGACCGTTCCCACAGAGACCTTCGCAGTAACCCTGTCCCCCCTCAGATGATCTGAGTGTGGGTTTCCTGGGTTTTGTTGTATTTCGTAAATGGTGTGGGCTGTGTTCCGCAGGCTGGTGGAGGAGACCTTCACCGCGGACGAGGTGTCCGAGGTGCTGAGCGGGCTGCAGGCCGTGGTCTACAGCGAGCTAGAGTCCGAGCTCATCCACACGGCCCGCACCAACGTGCTGCTGCTGCGCCAGCTCTTCTCCCAGGCCGAGAAGTGGTACCTCAAGCTGCAGACCGACATCTCGGAGCTTGAAAACAGGTAGTCGCACTGGACCCGCGGGTGGGACGGGAGAGGCCCAGGCGTGGCCTCAAAATCAGTGAGCGTCTTCGCTGCTTCTCTTCTCCCTTTTTCTCGGGGCGGGGGGTAGGGGTGCTGAGGAAGTTGGGGGGGCGAGCGGGCAGCGGGAAAGCGACCTCCTGGTGCTGCCCAGTGTCCTCTTCAGAATTCTGTTTCCCCGCCTGCCTGAGATTCTCAGGGTGGCTTTGCATCCTGTCACTCATTTTTCCTGCCTGTTTCTTTGTTGGCCGGAATGTATTGTAATGAGTCTTTAGAGATAATAGGCCAGTGAGGAAATGGAGATTATGGAACAAATAAAAAATTAATTCAAATACCATCAATTCAGACCAGGAAAACTGCAGCGTTTTCTATAATTACATTTTAAGTTATACACTTACTTTAAAATAGGAAATGTAAAAAAAAAAATTATAATCTTGACAGTATCAAAGAGCTCATTAATTTAAAAAAGGTAAAATGAGGGGCGCCTGAGTGACTCAGTCGGTTGAGCACTGTCTTGTTTTCAGCACAAGCTGAAATCCCAAGCTTTGCTTGGGATTCTCTCTCTCTGCCCTTACCCTCCTTCCCCACTCGCACATGCACGCCCTCACTCTTTCTCTCTCAAAATAAATACGTAAACATTAACAACAACAAAAAATGTAAGACGAAATTAAAACTTAGTCTAAGAGAAGCCGGGCCGCCTCCAGGTGCGGCAGAGAGCCATCGCCGTGGGCCCCGCCGGGCTGGCCTTGCAAGCCCGGTGCGGGAGGAAAACCAGTTGGGAGGGTGGTTACCGCATCCCCTCCCGGGTGCCCGCGTAGACGGCCCCGGGGACCTGGACCAGGACCGCAGCGGGGCAGGGAAAGGGAATATTCTGGTGGCTGGTTCACACCCGAACCACCTTTCTTCCTCGGATACAGCATTTTCCCTCAGCAGGTACGACACTCTTTTCAACAGGTGTCAGGAACTCACCCCGTTTTTCCGAGGCTGCTTTATTACAGCCAGTTTGCCTTTCTCGAACCTTCCCTAGCTAACAGTCAACGCGTATCGTGTCATAGAGCAGTCTCCCTCGAACACCTCAGAAATAGGGAGCTGAGGACAAGCTTCAGCAAATTTGTAGTCACATTGTAGTTTCGCTCTGGCAATTACAGGGTGTGCACAGTGGGTGCAGGGTCCTGGGTGCCGGGGATATTCAGATCTGGTCCATGTGGGCTGGATTCGGGCCATTAGTAACTAAGTATTACTTTTGACGGGGTGCTTGCGCTGTTGTCCCTGGCCTGCTGTGGGAGATGGTACCGGGGATTTTATTCTCCTGTGACAGGATCTGTTTTCAGTGAATATTTTTTTCATGTTTGTATCTTCCAGAGAATTGTTAGAACAAGTCGCAGAATTTGAGAAAGCAGAATTTACGTCTTCGAATAAAAAGGTAATTTGGCATCGTCCTAAGTCCACGCCTTCGTAGCCAGCATGTGACACCCTCGAGTTGCTCAGAGCTTTCAGAGGCGAAAGTGCAAACCCGCAGGGGAAAGCACGCAATTCAGAAGCAGGATTCAAAACTTCCTATTTTCAGGCATGAGAAGATAAAGCTTTGTGAAAACTTGCTTCTGGCTCCCCCCCTCCTCCCCCCCAACACACGGAGTCCCTGCAGTCCACCCCCTCCCTGCCATATAAGCTCTTTGCTCAAGTGACACGGAGCACAGCCTGGCTCTGGCTCTCTCGCTGAGTGACCTTGAGCGGGTGGCCTGAGACAGCCGCGCCCTGTTGTGCTCATCTGTCCAGTGGAGACAGTTCTAGTGGTGGCTGGTGACCTGCTTCTCTTTCCAGGCACTCTCGTTATTTGCAAGGAGCCCTTACCTGAGGCGGCACAAGCCCTCCCTGGCGGCTGACAGAAGGGGACCGCGGAGATGAGTCCGCGGTCACGCGCTGGTCCTCACCCCAGGCCTTACAGAGCAACCCGCCTCTTACTGCTTTGGGGCGCGTGCCTGGGTCAGAGGGCGTGGATTCACTTGTCGTGAACGTGTATTGCCAAACGGCTGAGACGTTGGGGCCGAGGTCTCCTTCGCCCGTGGGTAGCCGCCTCGCACAGTTTTCCCAGACTCAGGTCCCTGCAGATCTGTTTCAACTCCCCCAGGTTAAAACTGCGTCCCCAGACGCTGGGACCTTTGTCTGCCCTGCCTCCAGCGCCCTCCCTCCTTCCTTCCTTCCCACCTTTCCTCTCCATCTGTAGTTTAATTTAAAGGATCTGGGAGGAGGGATTTCATCTGCATCTCTGGTTTGTTTGGGGAGCTGTGGGCCAGGCACCGTCGTCGTCACTGGGACGGAGCAGAGAACCAAACCTACAACCCCCCACCCCGCCCCGCCCCGCCCCGTGTAGAGCTGACATCCCAGTGGGTGTGTTTATGTGGTGAATCCACTCAGAAGGTGCAGATGTTGAGGGCATCTGGGCTGCTCAGTCGGTTAAGCGTCTGACTTCGGCTCAGGTCATGGTCTTGTGGTTCATGAGTTCGAGCCCCGCCTTAGGCTCTGGCTGATGGTGTGGAGCCTGCTTGGGATCCTCTCTCTCCCTCTCTGCCCCTCCCTCCCCCCCTCAATAATAAATATGTAAACTTAAAATATTTTTTAAAAAGGGAAGCGCAGATGTTGAGTGATTACATGTGATTTCTTCTGTGGTGATTTTGGTTTGGTTTCTTTGTTTTGTGCCAGCCCATCATAGATGCCATGAAGCCAAAACTTGCTCCACTTAATGAGGGCGGAACAACGGAACTCTTGAACAAGGTAACATTGCCCTCGCTTGGAGAAAGGCAGACCCTCTTATCAGGTGCCGGCACAAGTGTAGGGTGGAGGCACTGAGGGGGGAGGAGCTTGATTCGGCCTTTGGTTCATGGAGGGTGATCGGTCCACTGTAGTCGCTTTACTTCATGGTTCCAGTGGGCAAGAAGAGGGCACTCACCTTCCAGAAAGTCTGAAATAGCTCTTAATTGCATCTTTGACGGTCAAGCAAAGGGCATGGCGATTGGGACTGTGTGTGTTGATGGACATTTGAAGTTTACGGTCTGCGACAACAACGATGGGATTTTTTATTAGGAGGTTAATAAAAATTAATTACTAAGCTGCGAATACTTTCCATGATTCCTGTCTTCTCAACGTTATGCTGGGTGCTGTTAGATACAAGCAATGTAGTACCTAGTCTCTTGCCCCCCAAACCCCTATAGTCTTGTTGAGAAGAGAGAATTAACATTCTAGAAACAGATAGAGGAAGGCTAACCTGTGGGCCTCGGGGTGGTGGAGATGGCAGTTCCGGATACATGCGGTTGAGGATTTGGGGGAAGGCGGCTCTGAGCTGGGCCGGAGGCTAAATACAGATTAAACTGTCCTTGGGGAGACAAGGGGGTGTGGCGGATGGGAACCCAGCGGGGGCACCAGTGAGGGCCCCAGGGAGGCCACCATGGTGTGGTACCGAGTGCGGTGCTCTCCAGGCTGACGTGGGTGTTGAGCATCGGGAGAAAGAGGCCTGGACTCCGTGCCGGCCCTTATGATGGAGCTGCTTGGAGCAAAGGCCTCTGGCCAAGTGCAGTTAGAAGCACCTCGGGGCTTGGGTGTAGACTGTCGCACTGATAAAGACTGTTCTTAGGGGCGCCTGGGTGGCTCAGCCAGTTAAGCGTCCGACTTTTGATTTTGGCTCAGATCATGATCTTACAGTTTGCCAGATCGAGCCCCGCATCAGGCTCTCTGCTGACAACATAGAACCTGCTTGGGATTCTCTCTCTCCCTCTCTCTCTGCTCCTCCTCTCCCTCTCTCTCTCAAAATAAATACATGTTTAAAACTTTAAAAAAAGGCCATGTTTTTAGGATAAGTGCAGGTGCTGGCCAGGGACAGCCTACAGAGTTGCAGGCCCAGCCAGAGAGGGAGACTGAGAGAGAAGGCTGAGAGCAGAGGCCTGAAGGGAGCCTGAGAAACTGGCTGTGAAAGAGGCTTAGAGTCCGCAAGGGACTCAGGTGTGGAGGCCGGTGGGCTGGGTGGGACTGGATGTCGCCAGGAACCAGGGCACACAGATGTTTGAGCTGGCGTGTAATTAAATTTAGTTTTGAAATTAAACTTTTAAGTGAAGCAATTTCAAGTATTAAAGAGACCATAGCTAAAATAATAAACCTTGGATTTACTCACAAAGGAAATTGCACGACTTCAAGAAGAGAATGAGAAATTGAAGTCGAGGCTGAAGACGATTGAAATACAGGTAACCGGGAAATGCTTTACCAAAACCATTGAAAGAGCTGCTTCCAGAATAAATACTGAGGATGTTTTGTTTAAATCCAATTACAGGCAACACACGCATTAGATGAGAAGTCAAAACTGGAAAGAGCACTGCAGGACTTGAAGCTCGACAAGGGAGATCAACAGGTGAGAGACATTTGGAATCAGTCAATGACACTGTGATAATCTTGTGACAGTTGGTAACCACGCTCGTCACGAGGCTTGCTTGGTACATGTAAAATACCGAATCACTGCAGTGCCCGCCTGGAGCTGATAGGATGTCACACGCCAGTTATCCTTCCATTTTTTTTAAGAGGCGGAATCAGTTTTAGCTTTTTCATGTTTTTCTAATAGAATTAATAGAATAAAGGTACAACCCTAACGTGAAGTTAGTTACTGTTCATTCTGCCCCAGCTCTGCCTCTCTCTGTCCTGCATCCAGACGTCCCTGTCCAGGGAAGGCCGGGTGAGGGCCGAGGGGGCGGGTCCACCACTCACACGCCTCACGGGTCCCAAGAGCCCACCAGCACCCAAGGTATCCTGAAGTTTATTGTGTTTAGCTCTTCCCCCTTTTATCTTGATGTTCCAATTACAATGGGGGGAAAGGAAATGAAGAAAGGGGGAGCTTTCAGTTCATTAGATTTGTATTCGGCTTTATTATATAGAACTTCTGATTACGTCGGCCTTTGGTGAGTATGACAAAATAGGGTGAATTTACTCGGTGTGCGTCTTCACACCCACCTCCATCTGGAGCATTCATGTAACGTGCCGAAATCCGGTGGTGGCTCCCCGGCCTGTCTTGGGGGTGGACCGTGGACCGCTCTGCCTGCGGGACGTTCTCGCCTACACAGGTGGCCTTCTGGGCACTAGACGCTGCGCAGACTTCCTGTCTGCGGGGCCGCGTAAGGGCGTTTTCAGCGGAGCGCTGGCTTTTCTAGCGGGTGTCCTGTCATTGCAGAGGTCTGCTAAACAGTCCCCAACTTGCTTCTTTGGACTTTTATCGTTACACTTCTTTATGGGAAACCTCAAACTCCTCAGAAGTAGAGGGTACAGTGTGCCACCCCCCCGGTGCCCCTCACTCCACTCCCCCATCACCGGGAGCTGGCCAGGCTGCTTTCCCACTTCACTCTCCTTCATCCATTCCTTCAGGGTTTTTTTGAGACAAATCTCAGACATGACATCATTTTGTCCGGAGATATTTTTATTTATTTTTTTTTTCTTTTTTTTTTTTAATTTTTTTTTAATGTTTTATTTATTTCTAGGAGAGAGAGAGAGAGAGACAGTGTGAGCAGGGGAGGGTCAGAGAGAGAGGGAGTCACAGACTGAAACAGGCTCCAGGCTCTGAGCCGGCAGTCAGCACAGAGCCCGACGCGGGGCTCGAACCCACGAACCGCGAGATCATGACCTGAGCGAAAGTCGGACGCTCAACCGACTAAGCCACCCAGGCGCCCCTGTCCGGAGATATTTTTAAAATAGGATCTGGGGTGCCTGGGCGGCAGTCAGTCAAGCCTCTGATTTCGGCTCAGGTCATGATCTCGCCGTCTGTGAGTTCGAGCTCCACATGGGGTTCTGTGCTGACAGCTCAGAGCCTGGAGCCTACTTCGGATTCTGTGTCTCCCCCTCTCTCTGCCACTCCTGTTTGTGCTCTGTCTCTCTCTCTCTCCCTCTCTCTCAAAAATAAATAAACATTTTTAAAAATAATAAAAAATAGAAAACAAAAATAAAATAGGATAATTCTTAGATGGCTACGAAAAACAAAGGAGAGATTTATGATTTTCAATCTTGTATCAAGGACCATAGATTTAGAAAACAGAGCTAACTACTGTAAAACAGCTGTATAATTTCTCAAGAGTAAAACAGTTGCAAACATTTTTTGGATGAAGAATTTACCTTAAAAGCCATTTTGGACTTTGCCCCAACTTTAAATTTGGACCAAAGAAAATAAGTGCATGCTTTCACTAGCTGCGCAGAAGTAACATCTTGGTAAGGACCAGACTTCAGACATGAGTGAGGAGTGTCTCTGTTGTTGGGAGTTCTGTCCCTTGTTCATAATCAGCAGCTACCCCCCATTTTCCTGTCGTGGTGATGCAGCTGCTTCCATTATAAATTTCTCCCGTCAAAAACATGACGCAGCTGCTTCCATTATGCCTACAGTGTGTGCAAGCACGCATAGTGCATTAATAAAAAATTAAAATCTTATAAATTTAGCAAGGTGTATAATCAGTAAGCATTAATTAGGCTCTCATCATATTTTAATGTAAATAATGACTAAGCCATACGTCTATTAAATTTTTGATGTAAAGTTTTTGTATTAAAATTTTTATATTTGGGGTACCTGGGTGGCACAGTCTATGAAGGGTCTGACTTTGGCTCAGGTCATGATCTCCTGGTCCATGAGTTCAAGCCCCATGTCGGGCTCTGTGCTGACAGCTCAGAGCCTGGAGCCTGCTTCAGATGCTGTGTCTTCCTCTCTCTCTGCCCCTCCCCTGCTTGTGCTCTGTCTCTCTCTCTCTCAAAAATAAACATTAAAAAATTTTAAAAATTTTTTATTAAGTTGATTATTTTACCATCTATATCACTCAGCATTCTTCAGGATTTTTTTTAAGTTGACTTTTCAAATCTGAAACCTGTCCACTCCCGCCTTCTCCGCGCCCCCCCCCCCCCCCCGGGACACACACAGCGTTGTCAGATTTGAGACCTCACCTCTCTCCTGCTCCTCAGTGGGACTCCAGCAATGCATGGACGATCGTTTGCAGATTTGGAAATCAGCGACCACTGAGTGTCTGGTCGTCCAGGACACCATCCACTGGGGCCAAGGGAGAACAGGGCGCACCGGGGACCCTCAGGGACCTGAAGCTTCCCCGGGCTGGCAGGGAGGCTGACGTGCACACGCAAAACATTGACTCTTGTGTCACTGTTGTAGAAAAGTGACTGGTTTGGATGTGACAGCGGGTGTATTTTTCATAGGATCTTATCAAGGCCCAAGACCTGAATGACTTGGAGGACACAGTTACTGCTTTAAAGAGTGAGTTTCAGAAGACACTTAATGACCAGACAGAAAATCAGAAGTCCCTGGAGGAGAATCTGGCAACAGCCAAGCATGACCTGCTCAGGGTTCAGGAGCAGCTGAGCATGGCTGAAAAGGTCAGGCTCGCCTGTGTGTGTCCGCCCAAGCAGGGAGCAGGGGTGACGGGGGGACGTTGAAGGACAGCTGCAGGTCTGCCTTGTTGTTCCTCAAGGTGGCAGCCAGTGTGTCTTTGGCTCTAAAATATCTGTGGTGATAAAAACCCTCCACTCCTTCCTCTGGTGTGGCAAATTTCTCCTGCCCGGACAGCTTACGTGTGCCGTCCTGTGCCCCGCAATGCCCGTCCCTGTGTCACCTGGCAAAGGGATGGGTGACCTCTCTTTAAAAGATTCTGTACCGTGGGGCTCCTGGGGGGGGGAGGGGCGTGGCTCAGCCAGCTAAGCGTCTGGCTCTAGATTTCTGCTCAGGTCACGATCTCATAGTTTGTGAGTTCAAGCCCCACACTGGGCTCTGTGCTGACAGTGCGGAGCCTGCTTGGGATTCTCTCTCTCCTCTCTCTGCCTCACCCCTGCTTGCTTTCTCTGTCTCTCTCTCAAAAACAAATAAATAAGTAAACATTAAAGGATACTATGCCTTGTTCTTAATTTATAGGAAATGGGTAGAGAACTGTATTCTTCATTTAAGGGATTAGACTCTTAAGTGTACGGGCGCTAACACGTAACTGAATGAAAAGTCCTCCACCTAGAAACTGACGCTACTGTGGGCCTCGGGGAAGAGCTCATGCTTACTTCACCTGAGAAGGCGTTACCGTCTCACACAAAGGTCGTCCCACGTCTAGGGCACGGTTCGCTCCCACCCTCTGCTAACATCGTATGCATACGCAGTCATATGCTGACAGTGTTGCTCTTTTATTGACTTCTCATTGGAAGGAATGTATTTTTAAGTGGGAACAATCTGAATTTCATATAAGTAAATTTAAAAAAGAAATTAGAAAACAACATAAGCAGAATATTGGTAAAAATAAAGCCAAAGTATACGTTTTTATAAGATGTGTTCTTTCTCTCCCTCACCATTTCTTAGCAATGCACTGACCTTTTTCACTGCACAGGAATTAGACAAGAAATTCCAACAGACGGCAGCTTATCGAAACATGAAAGAGATTCTCACCAGGAAGAATGACCAAATCAAAGACCTGAGGAGAAGACTGACCAAGTAAGCCCTGACGATCCGGGGGGCTCTCAGGTTTGCCCCCTGCCGGGTTGATGTCTGCTCTTAGTGAAATATCAGCTTGTGTCCAGAGGGGTCGGGACAGTGTCTGGTTGCTCCGTCATTTAGTCCAGCAGCCTGCGTTTGAGGGGAGTCTTGTCCGTCCTGCCCGCCAGGGCTAGAACTTGAGACACACACAACTACACTAGGCCACTCTGGGCAAGGGAGTCATTTAGGCAGGACATCAGAAAGGAAACCCAGCCAGCTTGTGGGAGGCCTGGGGCCTTTCTCCTCAGGAGCGTCCTCGCAGGAACCTGAGACCTGTCCGCACGGTGCTGCCATGACCGCCGGGCACTAGAGAACCAGGTCCCTGCGGATGGGCGCCGTAGCCAGTGGGGCCTAGGAGATCCCACTCCACGTGACGCCCAGGGAGGGCCAGGCCCGGTTCCCGGGGCCCACCCCACGCAGGGAAGCCTGCATCCGTGGCCCCCGCCACATGTCACTGTGCAGCCACAGCCGTCCCATTCCGGGCATGGTCCGCTCACCGGGCTCGTTTCTGTCCTTAGCAGGTTTGCCTGGAAACTCGGCCAACGCGTTGCCTTTACTGGGATTCCAGGGAACAGGGCTGGGAAGTAAATCCAAGACCCAGCTCGTCTTTAGAGAAGGGGGCCGGTTACCTTTCTCTCGTGTGGCCGTGTCAGCCCTGTGTGCATCTGACAGCCTGGGTGGTCCCTAAGCGGTAACGGGCCTGAGTGCCAGCTGGCGAAGTGTGGGCCCGGAGTCGTCCCTTTCTCCCACGAGCTGCCCAGCTGCCCCCGCATCACCGCCACGCCGGGCCTGGCTTCCCCCGGAGCCGTGGTCTCGACTGACAAACGCAGCATCACTAGTTTAGTCACTGGAGGTGTTGCGCCTAAACTCATTTGGTAGCGACGACAACAGCTAGCAGTATCATGACGTCACCGGCTCCACTGCATTTTTTATCTCTTTCCAGATACGAACCTGAAGACTAAAACCCAAAGAAGAGTTCTTCTGGAAGCTGCTGTTTCTCACCTCAGGCATGTATGTTGAAGCAGTTTGTTATATCCCCTCTCTTTATTTTTCTAATACATAGACTTTGCTTCCACCGCTTAGAACTAGACTCCCTGTTGCAGTTGCGTGACTGAGCAGCGGGGAGCCTGCTGGCCGGTCCCGGCGCAGGCCCCTCTGCCCAGCTCTCCAGAGTCTTCGTTCCAATGCTGTGACGCTTCTGTGGTAAAGAAGAGATTTTTTTAGAGCGGGAGGAAGAGCCTTCTCCTTCTGCATTAGCACAAAGTGTATACCATTTCAGTAAATGTTAAAAATAAAAACGGTTACTAAAGATAGTTACTACAAATAAACCTAATTTTTCAAAATTTAATTAATTTTCTGTGTCATAAAAAAAAGATACAAATGCCCTGAAAATGTGACTACCAACTTTTATAGGCAGCACTCTCACCAGTTAAAAAGAAAATGAAACAGCAAACATGAGGATTCGGTTAACTTCCGTCTCTCTAGCTAAACGCTGTATTTCTCAGAGGAGGGGCAGCATTTTGTGCGACCAAACTTACCATGAATCTGGATTCAGACCTGCCCTGTGCCGCTCAGATAAGAAAGTACTGGACTCACTGGGGCGCCTGGGTGGCTCAGTCTGTTAAACATTCAACATCAGCTCAGGTCATGATCTTACATTTGTGAGTTCGAGCCCCGTGTCAGGCTCTGTGCTGACAGCTCAGAGCATGGAGCCTGCTTTGGATTCTGTCATCCCCCCTCTCTCTGCCCTTCCCCTGCTCGCACTCGGTCTTTCTCTCAAAAATAAATAATTATTTATTTTGAATTATTTATTTTGAATTTAAAAAATTCAAAAAAAAAGTATCTGGACTCAGAATAAATATAATCAGTTTCCAGGGTATTCTTTTAAATTACATGTTAAATGACTTCAATTCAACATGAACTCCGTTCCCAGACCAAAGACTCAACTTTTGATCATAGCTTATTTATATGCATCCACAGTAACTGCATTTTCAAGTGGTTCTGCTCTATTTCCACTGGTTCTGCTTCTCCGTGAGTGGTTCTGGATAAGTCATCAGAAATTAGGCATCTTCCCTGCGGTGTGGAATGCAGCGACGGGCCAGGAAGACCAATAAAATAAGGTCCATAGAGGAGCAACGCATCAGGAAGAAAGTATTTACTTTTATCACGTTGTTTAGAAAGTAATGGTTCCGTTTCCAAAAGCAGAGTGTCACACCCTAAGTGACTGCTAAGAGGGGTCATCTCCCTTCCACAAATGCAAAGCTTTTATTCACCCAGAGTTTATTGATGAGATGATAAGGCTCGTTATCATTTTTATTCGAGCTTTTTAATAGTAGTCTGGAATTTGTTGTTCTTCTTGTAGGCTTTCTGTTGAAATACCGAAGGAACAGATGATGAAGGGTAAGACAGATCCCCCACCCCGCCTCAAGGAGGACACGGAAGGCAGTCTTAAAAAGATGGATGAATGAGAGAAGGGAGGGAAAATCTGACAGACCAGCCTTTATGGTACATCCCTTCCCCACCTACCTCTCACTGTGGACGTCACTCATCAATCTCTGTTCCTTCTAGAGCTTTCAGTTTCACCTGCATATTTCTTTAACCGAAAATTGACACTCTTTCCAAAAATCTATTCCATTACTTAAGTCTCAGGGTATTTGGAAACAGAACATGCTTGTATATTGGTCAGAAACCGTTTAATCATTTTCTCCCTGCACCTTCCTTAGGCCTGGGAAGCCGGTGTACGGCACCACCGCGTGCCCTGGCCAGCTGCGGCCAGCCGCCCGCCCGCCGAGCTTCTTGACAGCGCTGACGTTGCCTCCCTCATTGTCCCCTTTGGGACACAAGCATGAGGGCCCCTTATAGGAGCTCAGTCCCAGTGTTTGCTTCCGGCATAAGCATTGCTTAAGCCATGAAAACCCTTGGGTAGATTGCTCGAGATATTAGATATCACCTGTAAGTTTTCGAATATCAGATTTCCCCATACCAGTGACCAAAATTGTTGAAAACTCAGCCACTAGAAAAATCTTTCCTACGGAGCATAATTCCCGTCCTTTTTAGGTGGCGAGACATAAACACAATTTTATCTTTTCCTGATGACTCGAAGTCACTATTGCAAGTATCAGTGACTGTCCTGTACTGCAGTGGCCTCAGGCTGCCTCAGCTAGAGTTCTATTTGCCCGAGTAATAAGTGGTTTGCGAGCACTGTGTTTTCTGAACTATTGCATTGGTGTTTTTCTGGCGAACCCACGTCCACTCGTGTCCTTTCCTACCACTCTGGTAGCTCACACTCGGATTCTGACCAGCATGCCGACCTCTGTGGCTGTTTCTAAGTGGTGTGGGTTTGCAAGACAAAAAGAGAAGCTTATTAAAATTCTGTGTGTCCCCAGAGTGAGGGCCTAAGGGACTCCTCTTCTGCGAGCAAAGTGCATAGACCTGTAGCATCCTGGCAACTCTGAGACTGTTTTAGATGCTCATTTTTATAAGAGAATGTTAACCTGTGAGATTTGTTTCAACTAGTTGCAGTCTGCAGGTAGATAGGTGGATAAGCAGGATATTATGCCTTTTATTTATTTCTCTCGCCTTAGTGCGCTGGCCAGCAGCTCTAGTTCAATGTCCAATAGAAGGTAACAGAGGCCACACTTGCCTCGTTCCCAGTCTCCGGGGCAACACTTTAAATAACTCTATGAATAAGAACGTTGTTTGCAATATTCTGTGTTAGATTAGAGACACTCTTTTCTATTCCCAGTTTGCTAAGAGCATTTATGAAAATTAGAAATGGGTATTGAAGTTGGCCAGATGTCTTTTCTGCATCTATGGAGGTGACAGACTTCTCTCTCCCTCCCTCTCCTTCTCTCTCTCTTTCTGTTAATATTGCAAAGTACAGCACTTAATTTTCTGGTGTTCAACTGTCTTCAGAGTCCTGCCACCATGTCACTTGTCACTGTGACAGGTGCTGGAGGCACGCTGCCACATCAGCCACCCAGGCACGTTTGAACCACAGCTCATCTGGGTCCTGGCAGGACGTCTTGCAATTCTCATCCTCCCAGCTGATGAGGGGACGGGGTGGGAGACTAGTGAGCAACTCCTCCAAAGCCACCTCCCCCTCCCCTGCCCACCTCTCCTGGGAGGCTTCTGATGAGCTCAGGGTCCACTCATGAGCTGAACTGCCACGCTCAGCAATGCGGTGCCCCCCCACCCCGCCCCAGCTCGTGTGGCGGCCATCTTGCCCCTTCTGGCATGTGGGAGCGGGACCCAGGGAGCCCGCACCTTTGCCTTGCTCTCTTCCTTTCACCGTCTACAATGCCAGAATCTAAATCGAAATCTAAATCGTATCTTCACTTTCTGACTCAGCCCCGCCTTGGCTGCTGCCATGTGCTTGGTGATGCCCTTCAGGATAAAGAAAGGACCATGGCCCCGGCTACTGGCAATGTCACCAGCAGTCAGTCCTCAGCTGTCCACCCTTTGCAAAGTGCCCAGCTAAAGGGAACCACCTGGCCCAGGTTTATGCACCCCGCAGGGTGACACTATCTGACAGTGGTCAGTGCAGAAGTATGAAGGCCAGGCGCTCCCACCCCCTTCAAAACCCCCTCCTCACCCCGGGTCAAGAGCCTGTCCCTTGGGCCTGCCCAGGACCCTCCCTGACCGGGGTCCCCCATACCAACCTCTGTCTCGGAGTCTGCTTCCCACGGGCCCGGCCTGCAGAGTCACCAGGCACTATCCTTTCGTAGCTTGCTGGTTCCCATTATTTGGGGGGTTTGCATCCATATTCATGTTAGAGACTGTTGTGGAGTTTCCTTCCTCATAAAACAGCTGTCGTTTGAAAGCCACCAACAGTGTTTCCAAACCAACCCTGGTTCACATTCAACAAAACCTTTGAACCCTTTGACCTGCGCTTATCTCACTTTGTGACTAAAATCAGTGATCTCTTGTCAGAGTCGAGCCCCGCCCCCCCAAGGAGAGACTAGATAGATAGGTAAGTGGGCGGGGGTGATAAGCCCCTGCGCCAGCGTCCCCCAGGATAGCTGTGGACACACGGTACACGGTCCAGGGGCTTGATGCGGCAGGTGCGAGGCTGGAGGCGCGTGGCCTGAAATGTGGACTCTGCCGGCGGTGCCGTCCCGCAGGTGCACCCTCAGTCAGGCTCCAGACAGCACCGTCTCTTTTCAGTCCCTTCAGTTTTACATTTGCTGCTTCCTTGCCACATATTTTGAGATTCTATAATCATATCTTTAGACCGGCCCCAGGGTCCACGGTGGGTATTTGCTTTAGATAATTATTACGTTTTTCCAGACAGATGAGCCGCCTTCTTATACCCCCTTTTGGAGACAGAATTTGCATACAACAACATGCCCTCGTATTAAGGGCGTGGCTTGATGAGTCTGGACAAACGTGGGTGCCCGTGGGTGCACCGCTGCAGCCAAGACACAGGCCCTTCCCATCGCCCCCCGAAAGTTGTCCTGTACAATGACCCTCCTGGCCCCGGGCCCCCACGCACCGGCTTTCCCTCGGGATAGCTCAGACGGTAGCCTACCGTACGCTCCTTCCGCCCGGCGATCTTGCTGGTAGACCCATCACCTCCATCTCTGCCCCCGTCTTCACATCCCCTCGGACACTTGTCATTGGGGTTAGTGCCCTCCCTAACCAGGGTGCTCTCATCTCCTGACCCTTAATTACACTGGCAAAGGCTCTTTTCCAAGTGAGGTCACAGCCCTAGGTTCTGGGTGGACATTTGGGGGAGGGGGGACAGCCTGCGGTGTGTTGGAAGAAGAAGGTGTGAGGGTAAAGGAACAATAGTGGAGTAGAACAGGGAAGAACGAGAGAGCTGGGGGTACTGAGTGCAAGGTCAGTAGGCGGGTCCCCTCCTCGAGGGCTCGGCCTGCCTGACGAGCGCCACAGGCCAAGGGAACAGCAGACAAGGGCCTTGGACGGGAGTGGCCCGGCCTGTGGGAAGGCAGCAAGGAGCCACGGGGCTGGGTCATGCCGGCCTTGGGGGAGACAGGGAAGATTCGAGACTTTTCTCGATAGGAAATGCTGTGCAGGTGAGCCTTGGGATGAGAAAACCCAACGGGCCTTTGGCTGGGTTGAGAACGGACATCCCCGGTCAAGTTTGGGAGCAGGGACAGCTTAGGCATCATCCATGTGAGAGCTCGGGCTTCGATCGAGGGAGGAGTGGTGGATGCGGGAAGAGCGGTGGAGTCTGGCTGTTTTGAATCCAAGGCAAACTTAAAGTAAAGTGCACAGACCCCAGTGTCCAGCTCAGGGCACGTTCGTGAGGGAAACCCTTCGTTTAACCAGCACCCGATGAAGGCTCGTCCATTCTCTGCCCCGAGAGGCCTCCCGCGGCCCCCACTCCCATGGCCCCGTCTCTGCCCAGAGGCAGCCACTCTCCTGGCTTCCAGCGCCCAAGGTTCCTCGTGGCTGCTTTCGAACTTCACATACACAGAGTCACACCGTGTATACCGCGTGTGCATCACCCGCACACCTGGCACGTTGACAGTCTTCATCCCGGCCCGTGTTTGCTCACGTGAACCTTCCACGGCTCCCTCACCACCTTCATCTGCTAGACATTTGTGGCTGTTCTGGGCTCCAGGCCCCGACATGCCGGTGGCTGGTGCGGCACTCCTGGCGGAGATCGGCGCACCCGCCGGCTCACCGCACACACCGGGGCCCGGCGTGAGTGGACCCCGCCCCACACCTTTCCGCGTTGCCAGCTCACCCCCTGCGGCCTGCGTAGCTGACTCTGATTGTGGATCTGCGTCAAGGGTGAAACAACAGGGCGGGAGTGCGGACTGGAAGCGGGGCCTCAGAGAGGGGAGTCCCGAGTGACTCCAGAGGGTTCGGCCCGAGCAACTGCGTGGTGACGCTTGGCGTCAGTGGAGATGAGGAGCAGACGCCGGGGAGGTGAAGGTCGGAAGTCTGTCCGAACCTCGCAGACGTGCCAATGAGGACGATGGGGAGGCGGCAGACATGCAAGTCTAGACAGGCGCCTGAGGCCCGAGCGGGGCCGGGGAGACCGTGTGGGAGTTACAGGTGTGCAGAGGGCTGGAAGCCGTGAGAGAGGAGGAGGCACGGAAGAGGCGAGCGAGGCTGAGAAGCCGGGTGCGGCAGTATCGTGAGGCCTCGGAGAACAGGAAGACTGCAGAGGACACCAGCCGCCACCGCAGGGGCCAGGGAGCCCTCGATGGTGCCATCCAGGAGCCCGGCCGGGGAGCCGCACGGGAGGACGCAGTCGTCACCCGGGGCAGACGCGGCAGAGAGGGCGAGGAAGGGATGCTGAGAGCCGGCCTTCGGCTGAGCCACAAGGGGTCGCTGGTGGCCATGACAAGACAGTTCTGTTAAACTGGGGGAGGCAGTTCTGGTGCAGGTGACTGTGCAGGGGCAGGGGTGGGGGGAGGAGAGAAACCTGGAGCAAGTATCGATACCTCTTGAATCTTGCCATCAAAGAGCCAATGTAAAAACAAGAACAAACGGCAGAAGCCACAGGGGGAAGTGGTATCAAGCAAAGGAACTGTGAGGAGTCTTCTCCCTGGCAGAACGCATGCCCATCATCGTTTTGTTGACTCTAAAAGTATTTTGGCGAAAGTTGAAAAGGTAGGAAAAAGCAGGCAGAAGGGGACCATTCACAAAGGAGCACTCGGAACCATGGGCAGAGGAACACGGAGCGGGAATCTGTGTTTTGTTTTTTTTTAT